AAAAAACTGTAGTACAGTTGCCGTCAGCACAGATCTCGGTGGACATCGTGACACAAACCCGCCTTGCAATACATTCTTGTGTATCTGTCGCTAATCAAGAAAGCCTATGACATGGCCGCTTCGTTTACCGGTTATAGAAGCACAGCATATCCCTGTCTACACTACACGACGACTTGCACTGCTACGAGCGATATCTGGCCAGCGCGCGCTCGCAGAGGGGGACCGGGGCCCAATGACCATCGACAGGTATCCGCGCCAGACGCGTAGCTGGTAACGTTTGGGCCACTGTATGTTTCCAAGTATACATGCACCCGTCGCAGACATAATAAGTGAACGTTTAAATGGTCACCAGAGAATAATAAACTTGTTTTTACCAAGTATATGCGGTTTCTGAGACAAATGCCCTATCTCTTCGGAGCCACGCCCATACCAACATTAATCGCATCGAATGACCTTGTCGGACCTGTACCAAAAAAGGGTACTTCATATCAAAGTAACCCTCAAATGTAATTATATTAGTTTATGAATTAGATATTGTGGGCCACACACTAAACACAATTATTTTACAACAGGCGGGCTCAGGAAGGAGGAAGGTGGCGAGGGGCAACGACGGCGGCAGGAGTGTGGCGGCGACGACGGCAGCAAGGACATGAAGGAGTAAAGGGAACATCAGCAGCGGGTGAAGCCTTAAGGGCTGTGGTGGCTTGTCCGGCAGGGCGTACGGCAGGCTACCCATTGGGTGCGTGTCTGCAGGTGGCACTCCGAAGGGCGGACTCCGGTGGCACCGTCGAGTCATCCACCACTAGCAGCGGGGATGCCGCCGTCAGACCCCGCGAGAGCTATTGCCCCACCCGGCAGGGCGGGAAGCATGCTGCCGGCTGGTAGCCCGGGGACGCATTAAGTCCAGATGCCTGTACCAGCTGCTGGTCGTGTCGATGTAGGGATCGATGCTGACAGTAGTTGTGTGTAGCTAGCGAGCGTTAAAAAAATGTAAAATATATCCGAGTAATTGACGCAAATTATCAATGTCTCTTTGATATCGGGTACAATGATAATAGTTCGCAATGCACCACCTCACGGAAGCTATTTGAAGTTACAAGCGTAGTTAATTTATCACCTCATCACAGAGGCTATTGATGGCATGCATCCTGTCGCCATTTTAGCGCTTTCTAAAAATTTTTACGGTATTAATACCACAAATTTTAATTAAAAGCGCTTTTGGAGTCGTTTGTACAGCAATGATTACGCCGGTACGACAAAAGCAAAAAATACGTGTAATACGCCGGCATCTTAATATTTGTAATTGATACACACATTTTTCGTGCCCCTCCCACCTGATACGTCCGATGTGGGGTTTCGATGACCACCTAACCCTTCATGCATTGATGTGTTAAGACTGAAATATTACTTGGATATCCAAACCAAATAATATATGATTCGCCCATTAATGCCTGATACTAAACTTTAGAGCGGTCGGATAAGTGCTGATATTCTTCTGTGGTGAAGTGCTTTCCTCAGAAATAAGAGAATGGGCCTGACGCGGGGTCACTATCCCGAATCAGTGACTATTCAAGTGATTAGAGAGGATTTGGGTTGGCTGGCACGGATGCAAGCTGCCTGTGGTGGATTAGCCATGACGAGCAGCACCCCGTATGAAATGACGATGGATATGGTATGAACGAAGTACGAGAACGCAAGATCCACCAAGACTTACCTCGGATCCACCCTTACCTGGATTCACCAAGATGGATATGGGATATACTATACAAGAGTGGATCGGGTGTGGATCCTATGAAGGAAGGATGGTCGGTGCCCTCTGAAGGTGGATCTAGTAGCCACGGCTAACGAGGAGTCAAGATCCACCCCGAGGTACCCCGGATCCCATACTTCCGAGTTCGGATCCAAGGAGGGAGGATCCCGCCTTGAGGGACCTGGATCCAGAGTATAGGGATGGTGGATGCAGTGGATCTCGAGCTTTCGTGGGACAATGGAGATCACAGACGGCTGCGAGATGATGTTGCATGATTGGAGAGCTCAGATCCACGACGAGTGTACACTTACAGTGAAGGTGGATCCAAGCGCCCTGGATCCCTGATGAGTGTACGA